AGGGCAAGGAGGGGACGTGGGATCCCTGGCCGTGGCAGGGGCACCGTGTCTCCCAGCTCTCTGTGAGGGCAGAGGGAATAGTTGATGCAGGGAGGCAGGAGAGGGCTTGTGTGCCTCTTGCCTACAAGCAGGCAGGTGTCCACACTCCTGTCCCCAGCCTGCTGTGGGGGACCTTGTTTCCTGGAGTGGCTACAACCATGGACTTTATCTCCCACAGGACGTGAATGATAACGCACCTGTGTTCCTCAACCAGTCCTATGAGTTCTCAGTCTTTGAAGACTCTCCAGGTAGAAGCTGCGTGTCTAGGCTCGTGGAACCAGCATTGGCCCAGAGTCAGTGCTCACTGGCCACTGAGTGTCTGTCTCCACCTGCAGGGTCCTTTGTAGGTGAAGTGGAGGCCACAGATGCCGATCGGACGGAGATCAATTACCGCATTTCCTTCCAACTTCAGAGGAGCAGTGGCTCCAGCAATTTCTTGATCCGCTCATCCTCCCTGGGGACAGGGTACTACAGTGGACAGCTGTCTGTGGACCCTGACGTGTCCCTGGACTATGACACCCTGCAGCAGAAGTTCTTCTCCTTGGTGGTGCTGGCAGAGAACACAGCCGCAGATAACATGGGGGACACTGCCAATGTCTCGGTGGTGGTCCACATCCTAGACATCAACGATGAGCCCCCCACCATCCTGCCGGCCTCGCTGCAGGATGTGGAAGTGAGCGAGAATGGCACGCAGCAGGGTCTGGTCCGCACACTGGTCGCCTCCGACTCAGACACCAATCACTCGCTGGTCTTCGAGGAGCTGGCGGTCGGGGACCAGCCAGTGCTGGGGAGGTGTGCTTGGACTGGTTTGTGCTGACACCCAATGGCTCGGTGCTGGTGAACAGCTTGGACATTGACTACGAACTGTGCGACGGGGTGGTGCTCACGCTGCGGGCTGAAGATCTGTACACTGAGAAGGGCAACCGCTACAGCCAGAACGGTACGGAACCCACTGCCTGCTCCTTCCACCTCCACTGGGCATGGTGGGCGGTGGGACCCGCCTCTGCCACCTAAAGGAGGGGCTATGGGGAGCAGGGCAGGAGCCAGGTGGTTTGGTGATGGAGGGAGGGTGTCCCCAGCTCTTCTGGTCCCTGCCACAGGGACCCGAGCCTGCTGTGAGGACAGGGCTCCCACGAGAAGCAGAGGAGGGTGCTGCAGGGCTGCTCTGTTGGTGGCTGGAGCTCTCTTTTTGGGACACTTGCAGAAACCCTGAGGATCATCATCACTGATGTGAACGACAACACGCCACTCTTCTTGCCCATCTCGGAGACCTTTGGTGAGCAGCCAGGGCTGGTGTGTCCTGTGGGCTCCTCTCTGCACTCACACATGCTCAGGCACACTCCCAGGCAGTGGGCACCTTCCCCCGGCCAGGGCAGGGCTGCAAGAGGTGCAGGGGCCAGGCTGGGGTTACTGGATGCTTCCCGTGAAGGCTGAGGGGCCAAGGGGTGTGCAGGGTGATGCTCAGAGCCCTGCTGAGCCCCAGGGCTGCACAGGCATGGGGTCTGCAGCAAGCCTGGCTGCACACCAGCATGACCGCACTGTCCGTCTATCTGTCCCCGGCAGTGATTGTCCCCGAAATCTCTCCTGTGGACCTGCAAGTGGCAACCGTGAAGGTGAGGAGCTGTGTGCATGTGTCAGTCTGCGGAGCCAGCCTCACACGTCTCCACCATGGGCAGGCTGCATCTGCTCCCATCTGTGCTCCTGCCATGCTTTGTCCCTGCAGGCCACGGACGCTGACTCGGGGCTGAGGGGAACCATCACCTTCTCGATTGTGAGTGTCGTGCTCGTGGAGGACAGTGGGGCCAGCCGGGCCTTCGAGAACCTCTTCAAGGTGGTGACAACACTTGGGCAGGACAGCTACGTCGGGAGCATCCAGTGAGGCCATGGGTCTGGGCTGGGGTGGAGGGAACGTGGCTCAGCTCTTGCCTGTTGCAAGGCAGAGGTGTGGGCAGGGCCAGTGCAGGCTGGCACGGGGGCACAGCCATCCTGGGGTCCAGCCCCAGGCACGGTGGCAGGGTGGAGCCTGGAGGATGGCAGTGCCCTCCCAGGGACGTCCTTGCAGCCTAGTGGGATCGTTGATGTCCTCGTCCTTGCAGGGTAGCCAGCAGCCTCGATGGCTCGCTGAAGGGGCAGTACCAGGTGACAGTGGAGGCTCAGGATGGCGAGGCACCAGTCCACACAGCACAGACCGTGCTAAAAGTGAGTGTCACCCCCATCCTCCTGTCCGGGGACGTCCCACGCCCTGCCCAGCCCCGCTCACCACTGCTCTCCCCACGCAGATCTTCACGGTGGATCAGAGCTACCGTGTTCGCCTCCAGTTTGTGACAACAGTGGAAGAAGTCCAGAGTAACGCTGAAAATATCAAAGTGTAAGCAGTGCCAGCTCAACGGGAGGGTGCATGGCTGTGCAGTGGTGGACACGAGCATGTGGGCCAGGATCCACCGATGATGGCTCCCACCTTCACAGACTGTGAAGGGGACCGAGTGGGGCAGGTCCCGGTTTCGGGGGTCCCCGGCCGCTTCCCATGCCCACAAGCGGAGCGGCAGGATGCCCGGCCCAGCCTCCCTCCATCTCTTCTGTTCTTAGGGCCCTGACCACCGCAACCAAGGCAGGAGTCTATGTGGTGGCCATCCAGAGCATGGAGGACACCCGTGCCTCCCAGTGAGTGGGGCCATGGAACTGGTGGGAAGGGGATGTGTCGATAGCATCAGAGGGGGTCACCCCGGGGCAGGGCACCGTGCCCTGCACCTCGCTCATTCCATCTCTTTGATCCTGCAGGGTGGAAACCAAGTCAGTGATGGAGGCGTACTTCGTCTACAGCAATGGCACTGCCCTGGACGTCAACCAGCTGAGTGTGTGCGTGCTGAGGCAGGAGCTGTGCACGGGCACTGCCACACACCGAGACCAGCCCCGCCATTCATGCCTCTGCTTTCCTCGACAGGCTCATACAGTCTGACCCACTGATCCTGGCTGAGCTGGTGAACTTGGGCCTGGCCATCATCGTGAGTGGGGCTGGGCAGAGAGGACACCAGCCTTGTGTGGGGCTGGGTGGGGGTCTGCTGGCCAGGGCTGTGCCCTCACCCCTACTCTGCCCTAGGGACCCGGGGAGGTGGTGTCTTCCACCAATGAGACACAGCTGATTGGCGTCATCACAGGGCTGGCAGCATCCCTGCTTGTCTTCATCCTTGTCGCGACCCTGGCCTTAGTTCTCACCACCAAGAGGTACCACACCACCTGCACCCTATCCTGCCTCCCCACAACCACCTCCATCCTCACCGGCACCTCTACACCCATCCCTACCCTCTATCCCACTCCTGCCCACCCCATCCCATGGCCCAGCTCCCCCCACCCCTCTCACCCACCCTGTCCCTAGACTTTGCAACTACAAGAGGAAGTTGAGTGCAATGAAGGCTCTGAAGGTGGCCACGACATTCAGCCCTGCCATGGTGCAGCAGGGAGCTGGCATTCCCGGGACCAACCAGTACAATGCAGAGGGGTGAGTGGGGGACTCCGGGTACCAAGGGGGAGAGCCCAGAAATGTCCCCACACCCAGGGTCTGCAGGCATCAGAGGGACACGGCTGCCCCAGGCTGACCCCACAGCCCCATGAG